GGGGCCGCCTCCTGGACCGCCAGCCTCGCTCCTGGACACCTGCGCCGTGTGTCAGCAGAGCTTGCAGAGCCGGCGTGAGGCGGAGCCCAAGCTGCTGCCCTGTCTTCACTCCTTCTGCCTGCGCTGCCTGCCCGAGCCGGAGCGCCAGCTCAGCGTGCCCATCCCTGGGGGCAGCAACGGCGACATCCAGCAAGGTGAGCCGGAGGCCTGTCCGACGTCTGGGCCGCAGGGGATCTGCGGAGCTCAGGAGGTGCTGGGCCTGGGGCTGCTCCGACTGGCACGACCCTGCGGGGTCTACGAGGTGAAAGACACAGCCCCTGGGACAGTTTCCGGAGAAGCCGTTCAGCGAGAGCTATGGAGAGGGTGAAGGGGAGGGGTGCCAGCTGCGAGAGATTGGGGGAGGGGACGCTGGCTTCAAGAGAGGTTTGTGATGTGCGGATACCGGCTAAACGCCGGTTCTGGAGCCGGTGGACGCGGGGGGGCGAGAGAAGAGGGGATATGAGAAACCGGTGTAATAAGCGTTTTCGGTGGAAGAAGCCTGGCCAGGAGAGGTGTGGAGGAGGCAGGTAAGAGGTAAGGACTGTGGAGATGGATTGCTCTGGAGGAAGGGACTCGGCCTGTTCACGGTTAGGAGAAAGGACCACAGGTTAAGTGGAGGTGCCAGAGGCACTGGAGAGTTTGGGTCCAAGACCAGGCGCCTGGTAGAAAATAAGAATTTAAGGATGATATTGGGAAGGAGGAACTAGGGAAGTGAGAGTAGCTGTTAGGGGCCGTTAGTGGTGGAAAATCTTAACGTTTGCACATGAACGAGAAATGAACATGGAAGAGAACTGGGAATTAGGGAGGGCTGGACATGAAATTGTTGCAGTTTGTTGTACTAGCCCCTAGTATTCTGGGCTCTGTGCTGGGATTGAATAAATACTCATGGACGACCTCATTCATTGTCTCCTAGGGAAACAAGTATACTTGCAGTGCAGTAGTGTACTTGGTTCAGTGGTCATCCAGAGTGGAGGGATGGTTAGGGAAACTAAACAGAAATCCTTGAGCAGGTTTCTTAAAGTGTGGGTACCTCACTGGGTTGTGAAGGAGTTCATAAATACCACCCCAAAATAGGAGATTTTGCATGCTGGTTACTTTGAACCGAAGACACTTGGGGAAGGAACAGCAGATGCAGAGGCTTTCTCAGAGCTCCCCTTATTTGCTTAAAGATAAGTCCTCCAAAAGAAACCCCAGTGTCATGGATCCTCTCCGTGGGAATTTTATCAATAAAGGGAAGATTGACTTGGATGTAGGAGAGACTGGAGCTTGACAACACAGCCAGACTGCATCACCTATTCTTCTGATGGCTGCTCAAGAGACAAGTGTTATTATTACCTGAAAAACTTTTTGTAACAAGACAACTTTTATTCACTGTACCTTTTCTCTGTTTATCCTCCCATTACTTCTGTCACAGCCTCCAAGAAAAAACATGCCCCTCATTTCTGTAGTTCAAGATGTTATATAAATGTCATTTAACCCTTTCATATTTTGTGGGATTCCTGTGCCTATATATATAATCAAGTATGTCTTTTCTCCTGTTAATCAGTTTTATGTTAATTAAATTTGTAGCACAGCCAAAGAAGAGTTGAGAGAAGCAGTTTTTTTTTTTTTAAGTTTATTTCTTCCACGAGAGTTGAGAGAAAAAATACTTTGAAGGTGATAGGTGGCACCCAACAGGATCTTCACTCTGTAGTTCTCCCTTAGCTTCAGCCAGCCAGGATCACTGGAACAGGTATACATTTGCCTCCAGGGTGCACAAGGAAACTTCAGAATATGAAGCTGGGACCTTCCCATGTGCCTTCAACAGCACAGGGTGTTAAATTACCGCTGTGCCAGTGTGGCTCACCAGGGAAGCCATTTTTTGCTCCACTGTGGTTGAAAAATACTCTGGGCCCAGGGTACCTTATACATCCCTGGAACTAAAAGATGTTTAAAGTGAGTTGGAAATTAAATTGGATTGATGGGCTGAATAAGTAAGAGGTCCACACTGACGTTTTCTGTGACTGTTGAGAATAGTTTTTTTTTTGGAGAGGTTTTTTCGCTATAGGGCGCGTGCGCTCGCCAGACAGACAGAGAGAGACATAGAGACAGAAAGCGAGAAATCACCCCCCAGGGGGGATGGTCACGCCGCAATCCCTTCTCCTCCATTCTCCTCTCGGGATCTTGGGCACGTACGCACACGCGCCCGGCGTGAGTTTTAAGCCACCCGGTCCGGGACGTGAACCGCGGTCGACTACGTGGGAGTCCAGCGACATAGCCATTACGCTAACTGCTGGTTCCCCCCGGCATGAGTTTTAAGCCACCGGGTCCGGGACTCGAACCGCGGTTGACTATGTGGGAGTCCAGCAACATAGCCATTACGCTAACTGCTGGTTCCCCCCGGCATGAGTTTTAAGCCACCGGGTCCGGGACTCGAACCGCGGTTGACTATGTGGGAGTCCAGCAACATAGCCATTACGCTAACTGCTGGTTCCCCCCGGCATGAGTTTTAAGCCACCGGGTCCGGGACTCGAACCGCGGTTGACTATGTGGGAGTCCAGCAACATAGCCATTACGCTAACTGCTGGTTCCCGAGAATAGTTTTTTTAAAGCGGTTTTTGCCTTAGAGTGTGCGTGCTCCCCAGAGAGGGAGAGAGACAGAGAGACACAGTGAGAGGGAAAGTGGAAATCCCATCCCCCACCCCACCCCCACCAACCCCGACTTCTCAGGAGGGGATAGCTACAATCCCTTCTCCCCCTTTCTTCTCTCAAGATCTTGGGTGTGCATGCACATGCATCCGGTGTGAGTTTTAAGCCACCAGGTCCAGGACTTGAATCACCATCGACCATATGGGAGTCCAGCTATGTAACCGCCATGCCATCTGCTGGTCCCCAAAACAGATGTGTTTTGGATTTCAGAATATTTTGGAATTTTTCCTGATGCGATATCTTATGCGAATACTCTAGCCCGGTCTGGGCAGTGGTTCATTATCAAACATGATGTTGCTGCATTGAAACACGTGAATAAGCTAATTGGATAAATAGACAATTGATAGCCTCCTGAAATTTGCTGTGGGTTTTGTTGCAAACATAAGAAAAAACTAAATTTTTCAAAGGTTTTGAGTTTCAGAACTGCAGATAATGATTGTGAACCTGAACTAAAGTGCTTGGGATTTTTATCCTGTAGAGTTATTCTACACACTGGCCTAAAGGGCGTTTCTGAATGGCTTTAGTAGAAGAGGATAAAAGAATTGGATTTGTAATCCAAAAAGATCACTTGGTATGTGGATGAGAGAAGGAAAGGCTGGAGGCAGGAAGACCAGGTAGGAGAATCATGGCAGTAATCTAAGAGAGAAATTATATTTGGAGTGGGTTTGTAAAGGACTGATAGCAGGTGTTACAGAAAGAAGCATTTTGATGTGGAAGAACAGTAAAGACTTTCTGAAATACATTATTGAGTTTGAATGTCTGCTTTGCCATTTCCTACTTAAGACTTGGACAGATCTCAGCTTCAGTTTTCTCATTTGTGAACAAGAACAAAAATACATACTCATAGGGTATTGAGAATGAAGTGAGATAAAAATGTGTGAAATGACTAGTACATGGCAGTTACTAACATGGCAGCTAGTTTATTGTAAGTAGTAACTAATTGTAAGTGGCCATGAGAATGGAAGTGGAGGGGATGTTGTGTTTGGCATTGGGGTGACTGGCATGCAGGCTGAATTCCAGATTTCTTGTTTGTTGAGTGGTACTGCTATTAATGCAAATCAGAAATTCAGGCCCAGAAGCAGTGTGTGTGTGGTGGAGGGAGGGAGGCTATAATGATTTCAGTTTTGAATATATTGGGTTTGAAGAAGTATTGGGACATGAGGTTCAGAGTTGTATGTTAAGAATAAGATTTCGGGCTGACCCTGTAGCTCAGTGGTTAATGGAACTAGATCTCACATCACCTACTATGGCTCGAATCCTAATCCTGGCTGGAAAAACATGCTCCGTGCATATGTGTGTGTGTGTGTGTGTGTGTGTCCAAAATCCAAATGGAAGGGGAGAACTGAGAAAGGAGGATTGTGGCATGACCATGCCCTGTTGGGGGTGCTTTATATTTCTCTCTCTCTCTCTAACTCTTGCACACATGCACCCTCTGGCAATTAAAAAAAATAAGGTTTTTGGGGACCAGGTGGTGGTACTGCAATAAAATGCAGTGAGCATGATCTACATGGAGAAGTTCTGGCTCTAATTCCAGAGACCTTGAGTATACATGCTGTGTCTGCTCCATGATCAAGGGTTGACACTCACCCTGAATTGTAGAAAGCTATTGTCTGTTTATCCCATTTGTATGATATTCATGTATTTCAGTGCAGAAACATTAACATATGTGATAATGAGCTGTTAACCCAACTGAAGCTGAGGGTTGGTCTAGGCATCACTACTTGTTGGGGGTGTTGTCTCTCTCTCTCTTACTTTTTTCATTTTTCAGAGGGTATGTGTGCTTGCCAGAGAGGGGGAAGACACCCCCTGACCCTAAGGAGCATGGTTACCCCACAGTCCTTTCTACTCCATATCTCCACCTTGTTGCAATTTGGGGCATGCATGCATAGGCACTTGGTGTATTTTCTCCTGGGGCTGGGATTTGAACCATATGGTCAGTCTTGTGGGATTCAGCTCCCACAGGCCATCAGCCTGACCTTCTCATTCTCTTTTATTTTTTAATTTTTATTTTAATACTTTAAAAAATTTTTATTATTTTTTAAAACTTTGCTGTAGGACACGTGTGCTCATAAGAGGAGAGAGAGAGAACATGAAAAAGCAAGCTACCCCATCCGGTACTTGAACCACGATCGACCATGTGGAAGTCCAGTGTCTTCACCATCACTATCATTCTCTTTCTCTGTATATGAAGCCTCTCCTCTTTCTCACTCTTTATATATCTGTCTGTCTGTCTCTGTTTCTCATTCAAGGAAGAAATAAACTTAAAAAAATGAAGTTTTGGTTAATAGAGGAGATAATAAGTGATAATGGATATATGGAGGATAGCTACTTATGGCTCCATGAACATAGTAAGATGCATGGGATTCAGTGTTCCTTCCTGGACATGGGTTTATGTGAGAGATTTAGAGGAAGCCAGAGATACAGATTATGTCTGACTGAGGTGGCAGAGTGACTGAGGTTATAAAAT